ATTGCTGTTCATCACTGAGGGAAGTCAGGACAGGGATTCAAAGAGAGCAGGAACCTGGAGGCAGGAGCTGAGGCATGAGAACATGGAGGGGTGGGTGTTACCTACTGGCTTGCTTTCCATGGCTTGCTCAACCTGCTTTCTTACAGAACCAGGACCACCAGCCCAGGGATGGTGCCACCCACAGTGGGATGGGTTATTCCCCACTAATCAATATTTAAGAAAGTGGGTATAGTTGGATCTCATGAAGACATTTCCTCAGCTGGGGCTCCTTCTTCTACTTTGACTCCAACTTGTGTCAAGCTAGCCTACAAAACCAACCAGTACAACCATGTGTGTTTAGAAAGAAATGGCCCCCAAAGGGAGTGGTACTATTAGGATGTGTGGCCTTTGTTGGAATAGGTGTGGTCTCGATGGAGGAGGTGTGTCACTGTGGAGGTGGGCTTTCAGGTCTCATATATGCTCAAGCCACGCCCAGTGAGGAAGTTCACTTCCTGTTGCCTTCATAAGATGTAGAACTCTCAGTCCTTTCTCCAGCACCTTGTCTGCCTACAGGCTTCCATGTTTTCCACCATGGTAATAATGAACTAAACTTCTGAACTATAAGCCACCCCAATTAAATATTTTCTTTAATAAAAGTTGCTGTGGTCATGGTGTCTCTTCACAGTAATAGAAATACTAACTAAGGCATATGCCAATCCAATCACCAAAGTCTGATTGCTTCCTTACTTAGGGGGCCTGTATTTCCACTTATATAATTTGTCTAAACTCGGCCAGTGTGTATGCCACAGGAGGCATTGGGTCTGTGGTATTCCCTTTGGACAAACCTCAGGGTCCCAGCTCCCAGTTGTTTTTCCATATTTCCTCTGTCGGCAGCTTCCAGGTGCAAACACAGATGAATATGGAAGCCCCCTGAATGAGATATTCACACAATGCCCTTTGCTCCCAGACTCAATGCAAAGGTTTCTGTTTGCAGCTCTCTGTTATTTAAATGTGAACATTCAAGGTCACCCTTCTCCAGAAGTGTCCTTGGAGAATATACACATTCAGACAGCAGTGTGGATCTATCCACATCTGCAGTGTTGAACCTCACTGTTGGGGGCAAAAATACATTTTTCTTTTCTTTCTTTCTTTTCTAACCATATCTCTGTTTTAAAAAAAAAACAATTACTGTATGTAAATGTGTTTGACATTTGTCAGGATGCAGAGGCAAAGCACGTAGTAACGATCAATTAAAACCCACATCTCTCATTTCAGAGCCCGGAAAGAAACTAAGGTAATTTTGAGAGGGACAAAGGGTTCATTGATCCTAAGTCATGCAGTAATGGCTACAATCCCTTCTGTTTTCTGGGCACCAGCTTTGTGCCAATCATTCTGCAGGCAGCATCTCGGCTCCTTCTGCAGAGGTGGAGGCTTGCCTTGTTCCCATCTCAGCCTCATCCAGGGCTCAGCTCAGGACAGTCCATGGTTGATTCCTATTCTACCCACCACATAATCTGTGGCTTTCAGTGTCAGTGGTGGAGAGAGCACCACATGTAAATAAATGTTTAGACACAGGGCCTTGGGTTAAATTTCTGTTGGCGGTCTCTCCCTCTCTCACATATTTAGCTTTTAGCCCTTAAACAAAAGTATCTCTCATTGAGAAACGGAATGCGTGGTTCCTTTTGGAGACATCTGGTGTGTTGTTTCTAGGTGTTGGGGCAAAAGGCCAGGCTCTCTAGCTGTCCCCCATGACTCTCAAAGCCTTAGTCAAGAATCTGGTTGGGGTGAGATCTTGGGGGAATGTTATTGTGGTAGCTGGAGAGCAAGTCCCTCCAGCAGACTATGGTTTCTGGTCCCTCTGTCTAGGTGGCACAGGAAAGGGCCTACGTGGTCACAATTACATTGTCAACCTGTTTCCTCCTTGACTTCTCATTCTGGGTTGGCTCTGGTGGTACAAACCAACCACGGACTGTTAGTTGCAGTCCTTTATTCCAGAAATTTCTACATAGATGGGAAGGAGAAGGTTGTCATGGTGGAGGAGGAACAGAGGGCACTTGCTGATAGCCTGCGGGTATCAGGTACAGGATAGGAGAGCCACGATCCTGCACCAACATGTCTATTTCTCTCACTCTGACATCAGAACAGACTTTCTGAGCTAGCAATATGGCTTAGCAGGTAAAGGTGCTTGGTTGCCAAGCGTGACGAGCTGGGTTCGATACCCAGAGCCCACATTGTGGAAGGAGAAAAAATCAATTCCCCTCTACAAACTGTCCTTTGACCTTCACAACCTACCTTGGCAATGCCCGTCCCCCACCCTCCACATAAACAAACAAATAAAAATGTAAAACAAATGAATACACGTTAAAAACTAACCCATAGCTCCCCTCTGTGCTACATGTATTGCAACCACATCACAGCCAAAGAACATGCATCCTGCAAGGAGCGTGACTGTACAAAGTCCAGGATCCGGTTCTCAAGGGACAAAGGCAGAAGTCGTACCCAGGCCTTATGCATACAGGAGCTCCTAGAAGGGGTATCATGTAACCCAGACACGAGACAGGATGCCATATGAGCCAGTCACAGTGCTGGGAGACACAAAGAGGCTGGCTCAGACGAGATCACACTGACAGCTGCAGATAGAAACTGTACAGCTTCCTTCCTTACTGCTGCGATAAAACCCTACAAAAACGACTTAAAGAGAGAGAGGTTACTCCGGCTCTCAGTTCCTGAAGGGCACAGTCTACATAGGAAGATACGGTCAGCCCCTAAATATCAGACTCTGTGACCTGAGCCTTGTTTCTCTTTTAGAAATCCGGGCATCCCTGGCCCCGTTTGTCTTGGACCATCAAATATATCAGAAGAGCAGAGAGGGCACAGGAACCTTTCGGGGTTAAAGAAGTCTGATGTTACCCATCAGTAACATTGGGGTGTTACTCCTGGAGTGCAGGACTCCAGATCAGAGACTGCAGCTCTGACCCCTGACTTGCCCCTAGGGGGTCCAAGAGAACTCCATTGTGAACTGAGAACAAGGTCCCTGGTTTACAGGCCCCCACAGGGCACACCATGCAAGGGACTACATTTAGGTTTTCTTTTTTCTTTTTCGTTTTGTTTTTGGTTTTTGAGACAGGGTTTCTCTGTAGCTTTGGAGCCTGTCCTGATACATTTAGGTTTCCAATGTTTATTCTGACCACTACAACAAACCAGAAAGCAGGCTCTCCCTGAGAACTGGATCTCAGTGTCTCTGAGAGCTGTTGTATGTGTCCCTGCCCTGCCATATTAACTCTTCTGGCCCGTGATTTAGGAGTTCAGCCCCAGAAATTTTCAAGGCAGATGCAGCCTTCTGCACGCCAAGAGCCAGATGGGGTTTTTATGGACTCATCCTGCACAGGGCATAATTAGACAGAGGCGGAAACAGTATCACCTGGAGCACTGAGCTGGGCTCAGAGGAAAGCGCTTTGGACCCTCAGCACTGTCCCCCCTCTGAAGTGGACACCGTGGTGGTGGCTCTCTCCTACTCAGCTTCAGGCAGAGCCCATTCTGGGTCATGAGCAGTTGGCAGGGAGTTAAAGCTAAAGCCCTGTGAGGAGCTCTGGGCAGGCTGAGCCCTGAGTCAAAGGTAAAACACAGCTACCTGCCAGCCATGCCAGAAGCACCGCAATCCCCAGGCCACAGGGCACTAATGAAGCCCACCCACTCCTCCTCTACAGAGAGCTGTTGAACACCACCTCAGACAGGGGTTCTAAGATGCCCTCTACAGTACCACTCTGCCTAGACATTGGAGTCTGGTGATATTTTGTTTGTCTTAACAAATAAAGCTTGCCTGAAGACCAGAGAAGCAGAGCAGCCAGCCACTAGAGAGACCTTTTACCTCTACCAACACTCAAACTGAAGGTGAGATCCTGTCCTCAAACTGTTCCTCAGACTGTGTCCTCTGACTGACTGCATCCTCAGACTGACTGCTTCAGACAACACCCCAGACTGCATCCTTAGACCTCAATGAGCTCCTGTCTCCTCCCACCTTATTTTCCTCTCTCCGCCCAGCCATATTCGATTCTGTCTCCACCTCCCTAGTGCTGGGATTAAAGGTGTGTGATCCCAACTTCTGGGATCACCTCTATGTGAGCTCTGTTTCTCTCATAGACTGGATCAAATTTGTATAGCCCAGGGAGGCCTCAACAGGGATACATCTGCCTCTGTCTCATGGGATTAAAGGTATGAGCCACCACTGCCTAGCCTCTAGTGACTTAACTCTGCACTCTGATCTTCAGGCAAACTTTCTTTGTTAAAACACAAAACAAAATACCTCTACACTGGAGGGTTACCATGGAAGGCCCCCAGTCTCCTTGATTTTCAAAAAAAAAATAATAATATCTGATTTTACCCTGTATACACTCTGAACTGCTATGAGATAGTTTAGAACTAGCCGAAAGTTTCATTATTAATCAGGTGACAGACACACATAATCCCACTGAGGCAGGAGGATCTCAAGTTCAAGGGCAGCCCTGACTACAAAGTGAGTTCAAGGCCAAGCTGGGCGACTTAGCAAGACCATTATTCAAAGGTAAATAAAGGGATAAGGGTACTGTCCGGGTTTGTTTTCTGTTGCTGTGCTACTACAGTGATCAAAAATGATGTGGGAGGAAAGGGTTTGTTTCATCCTGCACTGCCAGATAACAGTCCGCCTACAGCCTTCCCCTTGGGGAACCCCTGACAGAGTGAGAAGCAAGCCACAAGACCCTGTGGACAAATTCATCTGACAGAAACTTTGTAACAAGGTTACCCCCACCCCTGCTCCACCAGCTACACTTGCCTTCATTCCCCTCTTAATCGGCACCCTAATTCCAGACTGGAATGTGTAGACGTCTCCCAGCTGCCTTTAAAGCTGCCTTATCGCTCTAAGAAAGCATCATACGTAATTACATTTAATAGACACAGAATTGATTGAAACACTTAGCTGGAACAAAAAGCCCAGACCTAATTTTGTAAACATGTTATTGTACAGTAACCCCCAATGAGTTTGCGCTTAAATCTCCTAATTAATTTTTAATTAAAAAGCTCAAAGATGCTATTACACTTGTTGTTAATGGCAGCCCCATGCAAGCAGAAACCACGGAGCAATGCAGACGAATATCTCCCATTAAAATCTGCGTTAATGAGAACGGCTGTGCTCCGCATTTCTGAGACAGAAACAGAAACGAAAACACCATTTAAGAAAAGGTTTGAGAAGCTTCCTCAGCTTTTCTCCCTTTTTCCTAACTTGTAGAGGTATGTGTACATCATCGGGTGGCTAGTGATGGCTCATACGCGACAAGCTGTCCAAACCTTTATCTCAGTAGATCTTTCTTCGACCCTTTCCAATATCCAGCTAAATGTATCTGGTGCCTTTAGTAGCAAATTATATTTAATACGGTCACAAGCCAAAGAAGGGTTCCACTTCCCGCAGTGATGAATTCCATTGTCATATTCAAACACTACCCAGAGCTGGATTAAAGTCCTCCCTCCCCAACCCCCACCTAGCACCTTCTTCTGTCCTCTCCGATCTAATATCTCTGTCTATCTGTCCAGGCTTGCAAGAATTCTTTTGAATTGCAGTAATTGAAACTTTATGTTTCTCTAGGGATGTGGGTGATGTCACCAGCGGAGAACTATTAATAGCACCAGACACAGCAAGAGTCTCTGTTTTGATGGAATATCTTAATAATAGGAGGGAGAGCATCTTGGAGAGGGACCGAATCATTCTCTTCACCCATAACTCAGCCAGGATGAGAGCCTCATGAGACCAGGTATCCTTTGCCTGCATGGCTGCTGGGAAGATGAACCCTGCCAAGGACTGTGATTCAGAAGTCCCTGGCTGTATCCTGCTGCACTTTCTAATTATGGGCAGCACCCACTGTCAGTCAGAGGGGTGTGGTTTGTGAGTGGGGGCCTGCTGCTCCTTCTCTGGTGCTCTGAAGTAAGACTCTAATACTGTCCACACATCCTGGGCTGAGGTTCCTCATGGAAACTCAGCTTTGTTCATTTTATCATGGTGGTCTTCCCCTCTCTGCCGGAGTCTCAGCCTTCACACCCTTGACCTTGAATCACTGTGGGTCCTGAGGCCTCCTGAGGTCTGTGGAAGGTGGGGAAGAGTGCTTGGCTTCTCCTTTCTTCACACCAGCAGCAGCTCCTCCCAGCTATAATAACCAGAACGTCTCCGAACACTGCTCCCATTTCTCCCCTGGGAAGAGAATAAAACTAACTGCAGTTAGCACAGCTTCAGGTTAAACAAAGATGGACGCTCACAGAGAAACTCCCCTGAGAGCCAGATGGAGGGATGTCGGTGGTGGCGGGCTTGTTGTCCTTCCATGTCCTTCTTGAGGGTTTTAGATTTACTCAGGCAGTTAGGAGGACAGTCTGATGAGTGTGTGTGCACCTATGTGTGCACAAGGGCACTAGTGGGTGTGTGTACAAGGGGCAGGAAGGAAATCCACAGTTCGAGGTAGCCAGAGAGACTCCTGGTTCAGTCAGGGCCTAGGTTATAACCAGACTCTCGGGAACACCTCCATCTGATTGCTCTTCCTAGATAAGACTACCGAGAGCCAGGGGAGGTGGGCTTGCATTTGGGGTTGCCAACACTGTTTTTATGACAGGCAGGGTGGGCTACATGTGTGCCTGAAATGGGAACACCGGAAGAGGCTTGGCCCTGAGCACAGCAGCTGAGGCAGACTGAGGTGGGAAGACAGACACTGAGAGGTGGACCCCATGTCCTCAGGCTCCCCTTTGTACGAGTAGGATCAAGGACACATCCAACAGATGCCTGTTTTACAGGAACATAGGGCAACTTCATTTGAGAAGGGAGAAGTTGTTTTTTTTTTTCTGATAAATGGAGCATTTATTTTCATTTCTGTTTTCCCTAAATTTGGACCGTTGGAGTTCCCCCAGCAAGAACATAGTGGAACCAGACACGGGCATACCTAGGCAAATGATTGTCTAAGCTGGGAAGCTGAACTATACACTGGCTGGACCACGTCAACTCTGCTAGTCTGAGCCTCAGCCCTCCCAGGAAAATAAAGCCTGTGCGTACCTCCAGGGCAGGTGAGGGCCATACTTCAGGTCAACTGTGTTTTAGTAAGAAAACCAACAGCAATTTAAAGGGGCAAAGGTCGAACCCTGGGGATCCTCGGCTGCCTCCCTCAGCTGCAGGAAAGCAACCCTGGCCTCCCATCTCCAAGGTTACCCACGGCTCTCATCCTTCCCTGTACACTTCTCTCCAAAAGTCCCTATTTTTAGAGACTTCTACAGGGTCTCCCAAGGGCAAATTCTGTAGAGGACCCATAGCCTTCACGCTGTGATAATCCACAGCTGAGCCGAGGGAAGGTAACCTTTGTAGGAAGGAGGGTTGCTGAGGAGATTGTTATGGATACAATTTGGAAGAAGCAGTATCAGCCCCACTTGGCTCCTTCTCAAGCATCTTGAAGCCCTTTGGAAACACCTGACAATTGCCAAGATAATTGCAGCTCACCTCCTCAACCCTGGGAAGAGCCCTAAGGTCTGCCTCCAGGGGAGGCAGCATCTCATGAAGGTCTTTGCATCTTAGCTTTCCTCTGTGTGATGTCCTTCAGTCTGGTTCCCCTTTCTAAACAGGCAAACCCAACCTCGGTCAGTCAAGATCACCACCAAATTTCATCTGTTCTGAGAAAAAAAAAGGAAAATGAACAGGAAATAGGGAAAATATTGTTCTGAATTCCCACCTCCCTTCCAAGCCCACCTCTTACGTGTCTGGGGCTAATTCTCCTTAAGTGCATGTATCTGTCTTCCTCCTCAGTCAGGGCAGGTGCTCGCTCTGCATCCTGGTACCCGATTCCCCTTCATTCCCATGTCTCTTGGGATTGCCTTGAAGTCATCAGGGCCTGAGTTATCTAGGTCACTGCAATGCTGTGTTCCTGGGATTTGAGCCTTAGCTTTGAAAGCGGAACAAGCATGTCAGTAGCCAGAAAGGGCTGCTCTGTGCAAGGTTGTATGGAGCAGCCCCATCAGCCTAAGCACTCGCGAGTATGCTCTCAGGTTCCCTGGGAGTATCTGCTTGTCTGTGCTGTCTGGTTGCTTGTCCAGTTTTGTTTTTGGAATGGGGTCTGGAGCTGAAGATGTCGCAGCCTCCATCTCCCCGGTGCTGGTTTTAAGGACATGGGCCACTATGCTGGGGTTCCTGAGAGTAAAATGTACTGCTGGCACCCTCTCCCTTCTGACTCCGCATGTCATTACCAGCCAGCCCTCTAAGGGCCTCTGATCCTTGTTTCTAAGGAAGTTCTTTTCCCTGGGGAGGTCGTCATCAAACCCAGTGTCCTGGTTTCTGGGACCATAGTGTTTCTAATAAATCTCTGAGTTTCCCCATTAGATTCAAGTCTCAATACTACATGGCTATAAAATGTCGGTGAGATTCTTAACTCTTCACTCTCCAGGCCTTCTGTGAGAAATGGTGGGTCACGTTTCTAATGAACTAATCTCTCTCTCTCTCTCTCTCTCTCTCTCTCTCTCTCTCAGGTCACTTACAGAGATCTTGCTTAAATGTTCACAGATGACACAGTCGGAGTGTACAAACCGCAGATACAAGTAATCGCGGTCACCTCTATGCCACGCTGCTGGGGAAGCCTGTGCGATCAGCACACAAGGTGTCCTGATGGTGACGGCCCAGTTATTAATGTTCTTGTTCCCCGCCCAGATTCCAGCCTGATCTATCAGCCCATGACCTGTGAAAAGCAAGCCCCACAAGCCTGGTGTATGTGCTGTGCCTCCTGCTGAGCCTCGGGGTGTGATGTTTGTGGTCGTCCCTACAGCCCATTTACAGATGAAGGACTGGGATCCAGAGGGGCTCAGGACCTGGCAGGCACCTGGGGCAGTGAGACAAGAGCTGGGAACCTGACCAGCCTGGGGTACTCCTGTCTCTCCAAGGCTTATGTTGCACACCTTAAGAAACCTAGACAATATTTGCCATTCTTCCTAAAACACCCCCTGGAAGGTGCCGAATTTACCTTTCTGGTAAAGCCTTGGATGGGTCTGCACCTCCCCTTCACACACAGGCCACTGGAACTAAGGAAAAGGATGGCATAGCATAGCCCGCCTCAGAGGGGTGGGGCTGGAACCCGCCTGGAAAAGAAGCTCCACGTGGCACCACTTCCAGAGTGTCCTCTTTGAATGGCTCCGTAATGACCTAGAGAAGGTGTCCTTAGCCAGCCAGCTTCCGCCTCTTTCCAAGAGTCCTCGGACCTCAGGGAAATCAGAAATAGCCCTTCCTTAGAAAAGGCTGAAGCCCCTCCAGCAAGGGTGCAGGGAATGTGCGGACACTCGGAGCTAATGAACCGAAGACAGACAAATCGGGTCTCCTTTTCAGTCTGTCTACAGTGACCTCCAGGAGTTTCCAGGCTGGGAATAATTGATTTGTGAGCTTTGGGATCAGATGCAGGCGATTCTGTGTGGGGAGGGCAAGTCTGCACTGGGGGGAAAGAAGATGTCTTCTGGGTCTTCTGCTGAGCAGGCTTAGAATAAATAAGATGCAGCAGAGTAATGAAGTCAGGACAGCTTTTGTCTTGGTCGGTCAGAGTCATTACGCAGGAATAATTCATGGCCTGGTGCTGTCCGCCCTATCTAGGTTCTGCTTGGCTGTCAGATGCTATGAAACCAGGCTCCCTGCGAGCCCTCCTGCATGCCTGAGTGCTTGGTTTACTTAGATCCCTGGAATTTTAAGAGTTTACCAGTCCTCACTTACCTAACGGGGGCCTTAACCAGCTTGCGATCTGTGGGGGCCATCAGAGCTCAGCCCCTCCTAAGACATGGCGACTAAGCTTCCCCTCACTTCTGCCCCCTGCACGCTGTAGCCAGAAAGGATGGCACTTGCCCTCTCCGCCATCTGTGGATGCACGAAGGAACTCTGCCTTGCTGGCCAGCTCCTGAATGAGGAGATATTTACCCTGGGCCTGCTCAGGGGGTGAGCATTCTGTGCCCCACTGACTGTCAGGAGCAGAGCTTCAGCAAATCCAGAAGGACACACTCTGTCTCCCATGCGCTCTGGGATTTTAGGAATGACTGCAAAGGGCCATTCAGCCTCTGCAAGGCGGAATGTTGCCTGTGCCTGGATGGGGAGTCTTTGAGCGGACATTTCTCTTCCCAGGAATCTGGATCCAAGTTCTGTCCTCACAGGAGCCCTTTGTTGGCCTGGCGCCTGGCACCCTCCACAGGCAGCAACCTCAGAGACTGAACCCAAACACACCACAGGGAATGAGGAGCCTTGTTCTGTGTTTGCAGCTTCCATGCATGTGGGCACATGCTGGTTTGTATGTTTTCTTTCCTTTTTTCTTTTTGGTTTTTTGAGACAGGGTTTCTCTGTGTAACTTTGAAGCCTGTCCTGGAACTTGCTCTGTAGACCAGGCTGGCCTTGAACTCACAGAGATCCATCTGCCTCTGCCTCCCGAGTGCTGGGATTAAAGGCGTGCGCCACCACCACCCAGCTCTATGTTCTTTTTAATGGTGCTTTTATTTGTTCGTTTGAGAGTGTATAAGTGTGTACACATGGTATACACATGCCAAGGCACACAGGAAGAGGTCAGAGGGCAAGGGACCAAACTCAGGCTGTGTGGCGCCTGGTGGCAAGCATCTTTACACTCTGAACTCTCCAGCTCTGGTCTGTGTGTTCTAAGAACACCCCTAGGCTGCTGCCATGCCTGATGTTATCAGGTTTGATGGTCACTCAGACAGAATTCCGAGGTTCATCAAAGAGCAAAGGGTACAGAAGACCAGGACCAAGTACCTGGGATGTGTGAAGCCAAGGTTGTACAGGGACCAATGAGGTTCTTACCAGTGCTGAGGTCCCAGGGCAGCTAGTTGCTAGGAAGTGGCTTGCCCCGGAAACGGCAAGCCACAGTGAGAAACTGGGGACTGTGTGTTCTTGCTGCCTCCAGCCTGTGTCTTTTGCCAGTTTCCAGACCATGACATGTGACTTCCATGCATTTCCTTGTCATTCTGAGAGTCTGTCAGTGGTACACTGCTTCTCGGGATCGCCAAGGCCCTTTGGACATAGCCCATGCTCACCCAACACTCAGATTGATGGCCACACACTGCGAAGTTGAGAATGTCCCCAGATGACTCATTTGTCATTCACAGTCCCTCAGAGATGTCTTAGTGTGACTTCAAAAATAACTGAGGCCTGTGCCATACCAAAAGTCTAAATGGGAACCCCCGAGGCTGTAGGTGTCACAATGTCACTCCATGAGAGCCTGATCTCATGGGCACCACAGTGTCACACCGTGAGAGCCCTGATCTCATGGGCATCACAATGTCACACCGTGAGAGCCTATGCCGGGACCAAGACAACCTTCTAAAGAGACTCTGGTGCTCACAGCCTAGGCTTTCCTTGCTCTACCTCACATTCCACACCCTCCCCTCTGCACAGGCCAGGTAAGAGCCCTTGATCCACTCAGCCTGCCCTGAAGTCACCCTAGGCGTCTACTGAGTACCTCCTGCATTCCAGGCCTCTGGCTAAGCCCTGTGATGCATAGCTCAACAAAGGAGGGGCAGATCTGCTCACCACAGAGCTCTCAGGAGACAGGACACAGAACAGATGGGACCAGGGACAGTCTCACAGAGGAACCTGGCAGGTCAAGGTGTCCTTCTGTTTAGGGAAGGCCAGTAGAAGCCAACGAGAGAAGAGACCTAGCAGAACTCATGGGGGGAGCAGAGGGAAGCAGCCGCCGCTAGGAGCCAGAGCCAGCCCCATTCTATTCAGACCCTTCACTCATTCTCAGCGGAAGGATACAGGGCACTCAGACTGAGGTCGCCGTAAGTGAACAACTATGCGTGGCAAAGCCTCTGAGGGGGTGCAGCCATCTGAATCCTGGGTTGTGTGCACACTCATAAGCACAGAAGCCCAGAGGGTGATGTCTTTGTCTGTTTTCACCTTCCACCTTGTCTGAGCATGATTTCTCTGTTGTCTTTCTGCTGTGGAACCCAGGCTAGCTGAGCTGGCCTGTGGGCTACAGAGTCCCTCAGGTCTCCACCATAGGAGTACTGAGGTCACAGAAGCTTGCAGTGGGCCCTGGGGATCTAAATTCAGGTCCCCATTCTTGCACAGCAAGCGTTAATACCACGGATCCTTCTCCCCCGCCTCCTTGAGTCTTTAGTTAAATTCTGAGTGTCGGCTTATAGCATCCGTTTGCTCCCCTCCCCAAGTCCATTCCACACATGTGACTGTATTCATCTCCCAAGGGTCCCTATAAGCAGGTCCTGTCAATAAGTTGTTCTTTAAAACCTGCCAGTCAGGGAAGGCCTTGAGAGAACTGAGGAGGGGTTCAAGGGGTCTTTGGGGTCCCTTACTCCACCTCGCCCTTTTCCCAGGACACGGATCCAAGGAAAGATGAGCCCTTCCCCGATGCCACAGTCAGGCTTCACAGAGATTGGAGAGGTAAGTGGTCTGTTTCTAGAGTCTCAGCCTAGGCCAGACAGACCTGCAGCCCAGGATAATGTACACCAGACAGACCTGCACCAGCCTGGGATGATGGACATTCATGGGTAGGAAAAACTCCAGAGAATTTGGTCACTTCCTTGGCTTAGTGTTGTAAGGGAGAGGGCCCGCTTTTCATCCTGGCCACCCGGTTAGCTTATACCCAAAATAACCACAGAGAAACTGTATGAATTAAAGAAACTGCTTGGCCATTAGCTCTAACTTCTTATTGGCTAACTCTTACATCTTAGTTTAACCCATCTCCATTAATCTGTGTATCGCCATGTGGCAGTGGCTTACCAGAGATTCTAAAAGGCGTCTGTCTCAGGCAGAGGATCCATGGCTTCTCTGACTCTGCCCTTCTTTCTCCCAGCATTCAGTTCTTTTTTCTCCACCTACCTAAGTTCCGCCCTGTCAATCAGGCCAAGGCAGTTTCTTTATTCATTAACCAATGAAAGCAACACACAAATAGAAGGAACTCCTACACCAGCTTAGAGGGCAGCTGAGAAGAACAGACCACAAACTCAGTCACGTCAGAAACTGGCAACCAGAACCAGGCCACCTGATGCTGGATGGGAGGTTTCCAAGACAGACAGAGAGAAGCTTCCACAGAAAGCAAGATGGAGCCAGCGGGAAAGGCCGTGAGCAGATGAGGACATGAAACACTGGAACCAGGTGAGATTGTAGCACACACAGTAATGACAGCAGCCAGGAGTGGTGCTCCAAGACCACCAGTAAGCCAATAAGCTCAGGGCAGGCTTTATATCGGCAATACTCACCAAAACACAAGAAAGAGAATCTGCAGGCATCTGCAGTCAGATGAGGTAAGGGTTTCCGTAGCCCCCAGACATTATGCATCTCATAGAGGACAGGCAGCTCTCAATCCTGGTACAGCCTGTGCCAATGGCTCTGCTCTCAGGGAGGTTTCTGTCCCGAAGATTGAGTGACACGGGGCCGGAGGGGTCCAGATAGGGTTTCTTTGCTGTGCACTGTAGAATAATCAATGGCATTCCATCCTCGCCATGGATGCCGGTAGCTCCCACCAGGTGTCACGACCCAAATGCATTCCCATGTTGACGGGCGTCCTGTCAGAAGTGGGACAAGGGTGCAATCAACCGGCTGAGAGGGATGCTTAAATCACTGTTATGTACTTGAGCCCCAGGGAGTGCTAGGGGCCAGGAAGGCACAGCAGTGTGGAGTGGCGTCACCACGTGGAACAGAAAAGAGTGTGTAGAAATGCCAGGCGGAGCACGGCCGAAGCTGGAGAATAAAGACAGAGAGAAGGATTCGGTATCGCTGCCGCTTAGCCACGGCGGGTGTTTGTTTAATAGATACAAGTGCTTATAAATATCTGTGACCCTGTTGTCTTGGGCTAAGCTCTCTGGAAGAGAGGTGGTAAGTAGTGTCTGCACGGATTTGTTACAGCCGAGGCGAAGAGCAAGAGGCAGCTCAATAAATAACCTTGGTGACAGTGGAGACTGACGTGGCTGGAACAGGCTGCCAGTACACAGTGCTCCAAAGCCATCTTCCGCAATCCCACCACCGGATCTCCCTTCCACGTCTCACCCACAGGCCCCGGCGCACCCTCACACAGAGAACCCACCCCAAAGATGCTGTCTTCCTCCCCAGATGGAGCCTGGATGTGTGAACCGGAAAAGGCCCCTAACAAGCTCACAGACTAAGCCCCTCCCTGAAGTTTAACTGGCACTCAGTTTTTTTGAAGGCAGAGGCCACGCCCACTTTCCGGCAGCCCAGACCACAGCTGGAACCACAAAACCAAAGCTTTTAGGGAGTTTCCCTACGCTGTGACAAACCACGCACGGAAACAAATTCACAGAGAGGCACGGTTTGCTTCGGCTTCTAGTCTCAGGACTTCGGATCGGCAAGCACCTTGCGGTGTTGATTTTGAGCTTGTGGTGAGGCTATTTGTCATAGTAAACAGCTCAGGACAGAGGAAACCCCTCCTCCAGGTAGACAAAAAGTTAAGAAAGGGAAGCCACTGAGGCCCCCCAGCTTCCCTCAAGGGCAGGTTCCCAAGGATCCAGTGTTCTCTGCAGGCTCCTGGGGACAGTCTTATCCCCCAGCGCAGGGCCGGAGACTTTAGGGACTGCCTAATCAGTCTGCATTCTATTTCTTCAACACTGGTGCAGATTTTGTTTCCAGAAACTTCCACTGGGACTCAGGGCTATTCATTCCTGCCACCATGTCTTGTGACCAGAATTTCCTCCTAGCGCTGAGACCATGTGCACAAGCTGTTGTTTAGACTAGGGAATTCTGAGCTAGCGGATACACAGAGCAAAGCGTATGTGTGCGGTGGTTGGGATTTCTCGTCTCCTATAGTGTAAGAGAGGACGAGGCCACCAGGATTTCCATGCGAGCATGTCCTCTGGTTCTGTGGTGAAAGAGACATATCCAATATCACTGAGAGTCAATGTCTCAAGCAGGATGACAGATTGTTAGGAGCCGTTAAGGAGCTTGCACGGGGGAGGAGTCTGTGGGAGGAGTGGGTGTTACTGGACCTCTCTGAGTGGTGCAGAGATCTGGGGCTGTCTGTGCTGCTCTTACTGTTAAATCGGGGCAAACAAGCCCAGATGAGTACTCTGCTGTCCTACCCCTATCATTTTTCTGTCTTGCCAATTTAGTTGGGGAGCAGGAGCAAGAGTTAACAACTACCTCTTTTCAGAATGGGAGGGTGAGCGCAGGTAACGCTGGAATGGATTATTAAGAATGTGTTGAATTATGTGGCTGGGAGCTAGCCGGTGAATAATGATTCAGGTTTCCACCGCAGGTCCAGCCCTTCCTGGACAGCAGAGCCAGGGTGCTGGTGAGGCTGTGGGGAGGAGGGTCTGTGGAGGACAGTCCACACCCTGACTCTCCCCACCTTCCAGAAGGCGAGTGCTTCATGGGAACTTGCCCTGTCCAACATCACCTTGGCCACTTTCTTCTTCCCAGGTGGGACACAGGGAATTTCTACATTGCTCTGAACAGTCATCAGTAACGGAGTCATTAAACGCAAGAGGGGTGGAGAGAGATGTCTGCCAGCCTCCTCCATTACATCCAGGGACATTGGCACATCTCTAATTAAGATCCGGAGGCTTGGGTTCCAATTGATGAGGCACTCCATTCCCGCAGCACATTCAAGAGTGCTCGGGGGCAGCGTTAATGCAGTGAGCAGGGTAATGGCTTGTATAATTCCAATAAGAATTTCTGGTCACACTCAATGCTAGAGGTTAACCAGCGCTAACCCAGAGAAGGAACCAGGGTCTGGATGTGTTGCTGATCTGTCATTGCTCCATCGATGAAGAGACAGTTCTGGAAGCCTAGCTAAGGGATCTGCCTACAGTCTTCTGGGCCACCCCATGAAGCCAGGACTTGGACCTCCTCTTGTTTAAACTAATGTAACAACATTTGGCTCTAAGCTCGGGGACTTGCAACAATCCACAGTCCCGAATGGATTCACTCTGGGGAAAAACAAAGAAACTGATCATGTTTAGAGAAAATGGACGGCCAAGTAATTCCCCAGGGAAATCACATTGTTTTATTTTTCATTCATTTAGAAGTTCGGAGAAAACATTTTGACATTTGCTGATTGTTGCAGTATTCCCTGAGGACCGAAGCCTGCATGCATTAATTTTATATTCTCAGCTGAGAAACTCACGTCTGATATGAGTTGGGGGTGGATGAGGGGGAAGACCTAGAATGCTTAGGTTCCTGCAACTTCAAGGATTTCTTTGATTTAGAAGTCAAGAAAACGAGAATTTCCCAGAACAGACAAAGTGGAAAGTTAGGAGAGGGACTGGGCTGGAATCCGTTAGGAATGTCTGGGATTGCAAGGAGCCCACAGGCACCCATGAGCTGGTTCACAGGCTTACCTGCCTGTCTGCAGTTGGCAGGCCCCTGTCCACCAAATATCCAGGTCTTCTGCAAGTGCTCTTCCTTCTGCCCTGTTTCAGAAGGACAGTCATGATCTATGGAATCAAAAAGCCTCCTGGGACTTATAAACTGTACTTCCACGTGGCTTCTGGCAATGGCCAGATGGGATGTCATTTGCTGGCATTAGGTGACAGTCTACAGTGTTGATACCAGAGCTGGTAGCTTGACCTGGGCATCAAAGAATAATCTAGTAAAACTCTCACCTGATCTGGAGACACAGTCAGGCCAGGCAGCCTTAAAAATCTCTGGTACACAGTATTCTAGACTTCCAGGCTAGATATTCATTGACTGAATTGGAGGTCACTGCTGTGAACCATTTTTTAAACATATATTTCTTAAAATTTAGTAAAAGACATACTAAATCCTTATACCCTGAAAAGCATTGCCTGTTTGGAAAAAAAAGTACACACACACACATATATATTCTAAATTATATATATTTACACATATTCTAAATTATATATTTATGTATATTTAGAATTAAATATAAATTCTGAACATATAAATTCATATATTTATGTATATTGGGAATTATAATATATAAATTCTGAATTATATAGTTATATATAATTCTCTCTATATATATAAAGATTATGAGAAAAATAACATTGAGAACTGGAAATCTTCTTTTATAGGCTAAAGCAACTCACTAAGGTAGCTTATGATGGTTCTAAATAATTGAAGCCATAAAGAAGCCTTAAAGGGTAAGAGCCTCCCCTGCTGCCCTGCCCCGCACCCCTAGAGTCCCCTAGGAAGACTCACCAAGGCTTTGTGGGTGAAGTTATAAAACTGTACTTTTGTCACATGAGGAAAAGTAACTTTAATAAGTAATTTTAAATTTTAATAAAGTAACCAAGGAAGCAAGCAGTAGAGTGGGGGGGGAGGAAATCTTGATAAAATTATCCCAATGAACATGGCCGCTGCAAGGCTGGCTCTAAAACCCCCAGGGACGGCAGGCAGGCAGCGTCTCCACCTCTGTCAGCAAAAGCTTGTGCCTGCTACCGTGGCCGTGGATCTGGCTTCCACATGGAGCATGTGATGGGGAAAAATTAGAGGGGACTCTTGCCACATGGGTAGAGAGAAAAGATGCTGAAGAAATACAAGGAGAAAAGGAGTCCAGCCAAAATGGAAGAGGCAGGCAGATCTGAAGAGGGCATTTCTGGTGGGGTGGCC